ACACGAGGCAGGTAGAATCACTGCCCACTCTTTCAAGGGGAATTCATGAGACCAGGAGGCTGATGCGACTTGGCCAAGGTCACCCACTAGTGACTGAGCTGGGCCCAGGACCAGCTCTCCTGACCCTCAGACCAAGGCCTTCTACCCCATACCTGGGGACCTCTGCAGCCTCAGGGACACCAGCCCCGGCCCCCACCCCCAGTCCTATCAGGCTCAGCCATCTTGCCCTCCACTCTGACCCTTCAGAGGTTTCCTGGAGTGTGTATGATGTTTCTAAGGCCTCAACACTCCCTCTATCCATTGCAAGGCTCCCAATCGGAGACCACTGTGAAGCCCTCAGCACATGGCCTGGCATCCGGTGGTTTCTCAGGAGCGTCACCTGTTGTTTATTGTTGTCACCCTATAAAGTGGGCACCCTGGGTGGCATACTCCCACTTTACAGATCAAGCACCAAGGCTTGAAGAGGAAGAGTGACTGATCAAGGGCATCCTTAAGTGGCAGAGGTAGGTGCTGAACTCACACCTTTGGATTCTCAGTCTTGACAACTTCCATCCACTGAGCCATAAATATGGGCCACTCCCTGAGCTCAGCACTTTATGTCCATTACTTGTCCCACTTGCCCCTCACAACAGCCTGAGAGGTACATACTGTTATCGCCCATTTTACAGATAGGTGAACTGAGGCTCCACTCTGCTGCTGTGAACACCAGGCCCTTGCCATCTTCTCCATCTACTACCAGTTCTTATAGACATCCGATTGACTATGTCCAGAGGAACATTCTCCCCGTGTTCTTGTCTGAGGCTCCCAGTGGGAGGGAGAAATGAAATATTGCAGGGTTACTGTTCTGGCCTTGTAGAGAGCAGGGTGAGCTGGGGTGCCCAGATTCCAGGCAGGACACTAAGCCCCACCTCCCACACTACACTGCGTGTTCCAGGTGGGGCTAGGGGCGGGAGCCTGCCCACCCTCCCAGAATGTGAGTGTGCATGTGGCACCTGGCACCTACATCCCAGACAGCTCCGCTGCAGCCCTTAAGGGCTAAGGAGGCTGGCAGGAGCCACATCCTGCACCTCAGGGTCCCCCAGCAACCCCAAACTTGACCCTGCACCTACCTATGTGCCAGCTGCTTCACACACATTTAAAATCTTCCCAACAGCCCTGCTTTAAATCTATCTTCCTTCTAAGGAAGGTAAGATTAAGGTGTACAGAAGAGGAGGCATTACCTCCATTGTATGGCTAGGAGAGGCTTCAACAGGACTTGAACCTAAGGCCCAGTGAGTCTCTGTGGAGCACCCCTCCCAGCCATGCTGCTGAGAAGATAGTCTTGTTTTGGATTTGAAGTTTGACCTGCTTCCAGAAGGGCTATGCAGGGTGACGCCAGGGCCTAGGGGTAGGATAGGGGCCTGGAGGGTTGAGGATCCGAGTTTCAGTCTCACTTTGCTACCAACTTGCCAGGCGACCTCAGTTTCCCCAGATGTGCCAGGAGTGGATGAAGAGCATAATGCCCAGGTCACTTCCAGCTCTGAGAGCTTATGAGCTTCCCCCAAGTCCACTCTGAATCACCTTGGCTCTCTGGGGGACAGAGCTATGGAGATTCAAACTGTGACAACGCAGCCCCCAGGCCCTTCTGAATCAGTAGGGGGAGCAGAAATCTGTCCCCTGCCAGGTGATTCTTTAGGTCCAGCAATGCTTGAGACCCACCAGCCTAGAGATTTCCCTTCCTTGCTTCCCCTCCTGACCTTGGCCAATCGCAGCAGCAAGATGCTCACCTGTGCTGGCCCCAGATCCTGGCACCAACCACACCTCTGTGCACAGTCCTCTACAGTGCCCAAGGTTGAGACAGGGCAGGACAGGCATGCCCTGGTCACAGATGAAAAGACTGAGGTGCAGAGAGATAAAGTGACTTGCCCAAGGTCACACAGCTGGTCAAGAGTAGAGGTTGGGCCTGGTGTGCTCATCCTTTTAAGTTGGAGTAAAAATCTGAGGAAAGCCAGGGGCCCAAACAGGCCCCTGCTGCTTCTTGCCTGGGACCTGAAAGAGGTTGGCAAGACTCTCCACTCTCCAGAGAGCACAGTGTGACCTTGGACTAGTCCATTCCCCTGGTTGGGCCTCAGTTTCCTCTTATAAATGGGCCTAGGTCGGGTAACATCAGAGTGCACACATCTGCTCTGGCTTTCTAGGTGCCATCAAGTAAAGGGGTGGCAGAGCTGTCTGGCTGCCTAAAACAGGGCCACACCTGCCTGGGGAGGGCTCTACCTTTATTCACAGGAGACCCTCTGAACCCTTTCTTTGATCCTTGCTCAAAACCCCCAAGTTCTTGGCTTGTTGATTCCCAAGATGTTGGCACCCAAAATTGGAACTAAACTCACATCAGGGGGAGGGTCTAAGAAGGCAGGCCGGGAGCCCGAGGAGCTGGCTTCCACCCCATCTCTACCATGTTCCAGCTGTGTGACCTTGGGCAAGTGTCTTCATTTCTCTGTGCAGCTTCCTCATCTGTGGCATGGGAATAACAAGGCTGTGTGAGGCCCCACTGTCGCTCTGCGTGCATAGCAATTTTCTCAGTGAATGCTTGCTGGGTTATTATTGACCCAAGTCCCCCAACCCATACTTGTGCTGGGTGGGGAGAAAGGAAAAGGGGGCAGTGGGAGAACAGCGGGAAGGGCCCAGCATTTCAGTCTCTCTAGAATGTAAGCCACAGGGAACTTTTCTGACCTTCTGTCTAGAGAGGACTTTGGGGGATGCTGGAGGCATCTGGGGACCAGCTCTCAGTGATTGCACACCCGTGTGTCAGTTTCCTGGTGCCAGAGAAGAGGGTCTGTGGGGTCCTGGTGGTCTGGGCCATGGGCAGCAGCGGTATCCGCCCCCTACTCTGTCTCCTTTCCAACATTGGGTAGCCTTCCCTGCAGAACATCAATAACTCAAGATGGCCTTGCTGAATTCAATCACAGCTCCCTAGGAATGTGGGTTGGCCCTCCCCTCAGGCTTATGTGGGCCTGCAGCAGCCACTCAGGGCCAGTGTTCCTCTGTCCTCATGGGAAGTCCCCTGAGGGGCAAGCCTCTCCCCAGTGTCCATAAGGATACCTGGGAGCTGAGGGGCAGGGTGTGCACGCGGCATCTGCAGAGGTGCTGCATCTGTGTGCCTGGGTTGTCTTTGTGTGCAACCTACATTCACCTGTGGGCGCATTCTAGCATGCCATGTGCCTGCCAATGCACAGATGGGCATGCAGCTGGTATTTGGGACCCCACATGTGTGTGCCTGTCACTTTCTCACTGGGGCCAGCCCTCACATGGGCACACGCCATATTTGTGGCTGTTGCAGCACACTATGTACAGGCCCATTCTCCCATGGGCAGCCCACTGCATTCCTATGTTAGTGCTACATGCATGTGTGGGCATGCTGCATTCACAGGTGTGTGTGTGTGTGTGTGAGTGCATGCATGTTGCATTAGTGTGCACGCTGTATTTTGCAGGTGAGCAGGTGGTATTCAGGGATGTGAGCTGTATTCCCGCGTGCTGGGGTGTATCTGTGGGCATAGGTACTGTGTATGTGTGGGTACTGTGTATGTGTGTGTATGATTGGAACATATATGATGTGCTACAATGTGCACTATATTTGTATTGTGCATCTGTGCAAATCTGTGGATGTGTATAGGCCCTGATGAGAATGGGACTAGGCATACGAAGGTAGCTAAATAATATGGGCCATCAGCATCTTTCCTGGACGCCCCCTGCAGGGTTCCCCCAGAGCCGCAGCCCCATCCCTGCCACTGACCCTTCAAGGAAGTTAACAGGCCCCTGCAGTCTGCACTTCAAGCCCCCTCCTACTGCACACGTCAAAGGAGAATTTCTCCGGATGGCGTCTGCCACTCCTGGAAATGCCCTAAACGTCAGCTCTGCTTCCTTCCAGTGATTTAGAGAGCAATGCAGACGAGGAGCGGAGCCCCTTATGCACTGGGTCAGGGGTGTGCAGCATCACACCGAGACCCTCTGCTGGCCAAGCTCGCCTGCTTACTTACCCTTCTGAAGGTCGAGCCAGGCTGGGCCTCTGCATGGGGGCCCCCGAGACCCCAGGGGTCCTTGCCTGACTGGGGCAGGCCAGCTGAAGAGACCCTTCCCCACACAATCTGGGTGAGCAGAGAACAGCGGTGGTGTGCAATGGCCACTTGGCTAGCAAGGGATGGCTGCCCACAGCAGCCCCCCTACACCTCCTGGGGAGTCCAGAGGCCCCCTGCTGGCTTTTCCCAATTCTGACCCTGCAGGGAGGAGCCCAGGTGACTGAGTGCCCAGCCAGAGGCCACCCAAGCTGGCAGAGGAACTGGGTTTCCCGGCAGAAAGTGCCAACTCCACCACCCAGCATGACTGCTGCAAAATGGCCTAGGCATCCCACTCCTGCCCGCCTCCTGGCCATCTCAGGAACCTTGTTTCTGCTACCACATGTCCGGCTGGCTGGTCTGACCCGGTGGGTCCGCAGCCCACCCCGCCAAGGGGAACCTCCGTGGGGGGTCTTCCGCTCCCTCTTTCCTGGGACCCTGGCTGGGACAGGCAGGGGGCACCCTTTGGTCCTCTGCATTTCCCAGGTCCAGCGGCTCAGAGGGAAGAGAACCTTGCCCCCCACCCCCTCCCTGCCACCGGCTTGCCGGCCCTTGCGTAATATCCATTGGGGGGCATTTGCTGTCCAGAGGCTGCCGGAATCTACCTGAGACCCCAGGCATCCGCCCGTCCGAGGCCCCCCTGCCCGTGTCCCCAGCACCCCCACCCAACACACAGACCCTCACACTAGTGTCTCCCTCAGCAGCAGCTCCCAATGCAGCCTCAGCTGCTTCCAGATAAACAAGCCCAGCTCGCACCACCCCCCCACTCCACGCTGCCACCGCCACCACCATCAGCACTGAGGAAAAGCAAATGAAATGAAACAAAATAAAATGGGTGAGGGAGAAAGGGGAGAGCGGAGTGGGGCGCTTTTTATTTTTTATTTTCTCATGCTGGGGGATGCCGGTACTTACTTGGCTACGAAAATCACCACAAATCCGGCACGGTTTCCAGGCGGGCAGCCCCGGAATCGCGGTGCGGCAGCTGGTGCCGCGGCTGAGCCCAGCCAGCGTGCCCGGTCCCTCTGCAGACTGTACCATCCTGCCCGAGCAGGTGGGGGGGGCGGGGGGCGGAGGCGCGGCGCTGGCTTCTAGGAGTGCATCGCGCCGGCAGAATGCGATCTCGGGGGACGCAGAAGCCGCCCCTGCCGCTGCGCCGCCGGAGGCTGGGGGAGGGGGCAGGAGGACCGGGGAGGGCCGAGGGGATGGCTTGTTCTGCTAGGGGGACTGGGGAGGAGAGTAGGGGGCGGGGGTTCGTGGACCGAACCACCACGGTGTTGTTTGCGGTTTTAATTCCTCCCGTGGGATCATGAGGAACTAAAGCTGGCAGAGTCCCAGGAATCTGTCCGCTCCCTCGAAGTAGGAGGGAATGTCAAGGGCATGGTGAGGGTAAGGTTGGGGCTGAGCAGGAGGGGAGGGGTCCCTCCAGTGGCGGACTGGGTGGGTGGTGATAGCAGAAAGGGGAGAAGTTTGATCAAATGACCCTAAGTCCTCCACTACTTCTTGGGGAGACTCATGTGGCTGCACAGGGCATCTGACCCCTCCCTCTTTTTGGTCAGGATACTTGGGGGGGGCAAATGTCACATGGGTGGAGGAGTGGACTTAACACAGACTAAACACATCTGTGGTAGCAGGACCAGCAGAGCAAAGCCTGCAGTGAGCGCCCTGTTGCCATCGAAACACTACCCCTGCAACCCAGCCACCTGCCTGTGTGTACCCCCACCTGCTTAAGGGCTGCATCCCTGGCAGAAGAGCCCCTCAAGGGGTGGTTTCTCTGCTGACAGGTGTCCACTAGCAGGGGATCTGCAAATGTCTTGTGCATCCACATAATCTGGGGGACACCTGTGATAAGTTGGGGAGCTGACCATACTGGAGGACTGACAATGTCCAGAGGACCCCAGGGAACCCCAATGAGGTGTCTGCAGGAATGGAATCTCCCCAGCCAGTTGCCCACTTCTTCCTGCCTCATCTCTTGCAGACCTGCTGCTTCTTTAAATCCAGGCTGGTGTGAGGACAGCCCTAGGAGCAAGGTTAGGAGGTTACAGTAGGCCAAGGGGCTTCTCTTGGGTTCTGAATCCTCCCTCCCCACTGCCATGCCCCCTCCAGGAGGGGGTGCCCTGCTTGGGAGGAGGGCACTGAAGGTGGAAGGACCTTCAGGACCAGTGCACCTGTCTCAGGGCACCTGTCAGCATGGAGAGGGTGCATGGGGGGCAGGGGTGGGAGTTGCCCCAGGAGGCAGCTCCAGATGGAAGCTGCCCCCACCCCCTGCCCACTTCTGAGCTGCCCGCCAGAGTGTCCCGAGCTGCCGCTCCATCTCTGGGCTGGCACAGAATATCAATTTGTCTCGTTAAGCTGAAAGTCTGCACTGCACCAAAATCAGAACCTGGCCGGGCAGGGGGGCCGCAGGAAGCAGAGAGATGGGAGCGCCACCAGCAGGGCCCCCGCCAGCAGGACCATGCTGATACCCCCTTACTCTTCACCCACCCCAGCCCCACCAAAGGGTCCCATTCTACCCCTGGTCCATGCAGAGTGGCCTCAATGCAGGGAGGATGCTGAGAAACTAAGGCTGCTGAGCACTGGGTGGCCCTGGGCTCCACTGGAGCAGGCAAGGCAGGTACTAGGCTGGGGCTGCAACAGAGCAGCTCAGGACACCTCTCAGAAGGGCTCTTGCCCCCCACCAACAGCCAGTGACAGGGAGCTCCAACATAGGCCACCTTCTTGGGTGTGCAGATGGGGGGACTCCACTGGTCTCCCTCCAGGCAGACTTCTAAGTCAGCCTCTATCCTAGGGTTGGGCCAGGCCAGGAGTCCCCTTTTTTCCAGGATCTAGAGGCAACCTCTGCCCCCAAACATGGGGCCAAGTAAAAGTGTTCTGAGATGGCTGAGGTGAGGGTGGGCAAAGACGGGCAGAGAGTAAAAGGCCCACTGCAGCTCATGTGTGGTCTGAGTAAATGAGTCGGTGCCAGGAATCCCACCATTACTACTGCAACATCATGGGCAAAGCACTTTCCCCAATTACAAAACAAACAGCCCCACAAGGGGCTGGTTAGGTGCCACCATTTCAACAATAACCCCTCCCATGTCCAGCATACTTTACAGTTCGCAAAGGCCACCTGCAGAGCAGTAAATCACTTGATCCTCACAACTCCTGCTGGAGCGGCTACTGCGAGAACCCAGGTTATAGCTGAGGAGACTGTGTGTGGCTCACAGGCATGTTGTGGCCAGGACAAGGCGCCTCAGCCAGGAGGGGTAAGCCAAACTCATGACCCAAGGCTGAGACTCCAAGACCGTCAGCGTGGTGTGGGCCGGCTGGGAGCCCCCACGCTCATCCACTTGGAAGTCCTGAGTCCTGCTTGCTCACTAGCCCCTGTTTGGGGCAGGCTGGGCCCTCACCAACAGACACCAAACTCTCAGGAGTTCATGAATTTTGGTTCCCAGAATCTAAGACTAGAACTGGCACCTGGCTAAGCTCCCATGTCCTTGACATTCCAGGCCTTGTGTAGTTCTGCATCTACACCCTAATTACGGGACACCCCCAACTTCTGAGGCGACCCAAATGTTGAATATCATAATTTGAAAATTTTTCCTTATGCTAGGCCCATGAACTCCTATTCAACCTCCAAAGTCCAACTCAAATGCCCCTTCCTCAGACAATCCTTCCTGATTCCACCAACAGAATTAGTTCATGCCTCCATCCTACATCTGACCACACCATATTGTGATGATTTACTCATCTGTGTCCCTCACTGGGCTATGACCACATCAGCTCTCTAGAGTCCCAGCTCTCAGCTCCCAGCATGTGTAGATTCCATAGTAAAACCTTGGATGAATCTTCTGCTGTGTAATTTTAATTCATCAAATGTCAGAACTAGAAGGACCTTCAAGGACTCCTGTCCAACTCTCCCGTTTTACAGTTGAGTAAACTGAGGCCTCAAGAAAAGAGTGGCTTGCCCAAGGTCTTCCTTGAGGGTGGGATCTGGTCATAGGCATTCGTCCCCCTGCCCTGCCCTGTTCCCTGCGCTTCCTCTTCCTACAGCAGGCATACCTGGGGCATTTGGCCTGTCCTTCCAGGATATGTCGGGAGAAGGGAGCCTGGACAGGCAGAGGTGTTGTGAAATCAGACAAACAATGCGCTATGCTGCAACTCTGGTAAGGTTGGCAATGACAGGTCAGGGTCATCCACAGGAAGGAGGGGGACAGAGGTAGGAGGTTGGCCAGGAGGCTTCTGCCCCCAGCATGCTTTGGCTTATGGTGGACATGGAGTGAGGTTCAGGGTTGGGGGAAGGCATGAGGAATAGGTCGGGGTGTGGGAGGGGAGAGCCAGTCCAGCCTGATTTTCAATGGAGTTTAGTTGGCCAGATCACATTTTCTCCCTTGGGACAGGTCCTAGGACTGGGAAGTATGAGTGGAGTGGAGAGAGTCAGTCTGCCGAGGGACTGGGGTGGGAGCATCGTGCAGTCTGATGGAAGCAATCTGAACAAAGGAGACAGATAAGGTAGGTCCACACAGGTCTGAGGGAAGCAGAATTAGAGGCATTCAGAGGCCAGCTGTGTCCTCTCTGTGAGCTGTGGGCTCTCCATCACTTCCCCTGTTGAGGGGAAGCAGGAATGAAGGCTACACCTGCCCTCCCCTTGCCCAGTTCAGGGTCTTTTGACACATGGGCAGGGATCTTGGGGCAGCTCTGGGGTTAGCTCCTGTCACAAAGAGCTGCTGGCTGGGCCACTCAAGGGACGAGACTCTATTTCCAAAGGCCGCTCACATCCCTGCCTTGTCTGACTTCAAGTCACCCTCAGAGAGACTGGGCTTCTTCCCATTTTACAGAAGAGAAAATTGAGGCCTGGAGACCTCAAGTGACTTGCTTAAGACGTACAGAGCCAGTGAGGGTGAGAGCCAAGATTCGAACCCAGATCTGTCCTATTAGAGCTCTAGATCCTTCCCTCTCTCCTTGCCTAAAGTTACCCAAGTGTGAAACGAATGTCTTTGAGAGGCCATGGAATGTACACGTGGGGGACCAGATGGCTTGGTTTGTCCCAAGTCACCCTTCCACCACCTGGGGGCCCATCTCCACTCCCACCAAGATCCAAAACTCCCTCAGCCAACCTGATCTTGGGCTGGGACTTTGTGGCCAGACAGACCTGGGTTCAAATCCTGACTCCTTCATTTACCGGCTATGTGACCTTGGGCAAATGACTCAACTTCCCTGAATCCCAGTTTTCTCATCTGCACATTGGGGACAAGAATACCTATTAGGCAGGGCTGCAAGCTAAAGGAGAAGGGCAACTACTATTAATGGAAGAAGCGCAGGGAGTGTGGGTGTAAGATTCCTCAAAAGGCCCCTGAGAAACATTGGGGAGTATGTCTCTTCTAGCCCCTCATCCCACTGGGGTAGGATGGTTCTCATATACCTCCTGTGGGGGCTGGGCAGGGCTGGTCTCTAGAGTACAGGCAGCTGACACATGAACCCAATTCCCAGCTCCTGCCCCTGGTTCTTGCTGCCTTGGCAGGGAGGGTGCAGGCCTGAGTGCTGGCTAATTCCAGCCACCATTTACATTGACAACCTACAGTGTATCTGTCTCAGAAGTGTGAGCTTTGCAAAATCCTGGGAGGTAGGTCTTATTTTTATCCCCATTTTATAGGTGAGGAAACTGAGGCATAGAGAGATGAAATGATGTTACCCAAGGTCACAGAGTGAGTAGGGAAACAGGGGTTTGAAACCAGGACTGTGTGAGGCCCCACCCCCAGCCCAGGGACCCTTATGGGAGGTGGGTGTCAACCTGAGATAGGAGAATCACACTGGACCTGAATTTCCCACAGCTATGGGCATGTCCTCTCAGCTGCACAGGTTAGAAAACCTCAGCCTGGAGGAGTGGGAGACGTGTGTGGTGATGGTTAACCTTGCTGCCCCTCTGTGAGGCCAGAGGCTGGCCAGGAACAGGTGCCAATTAGAGAGCTGGCACTTTCCCTCCAAGGAAAACACAGAGCCTGGGGAATCAAAAACTACTCTGGGAGGACTCCCTGGAGGAGGCTGCCTTTCCCAAGCCTGGGAAATACCATCTCATCCACACTACCCCTTTGAGTTAATGCCACCTTGTTAATATGAGTGTGTGCACATGTGCGCATGCACGGGTGCAAAAACACACACACACACACACACACACACACACACACACACACACACACCTTGCCTACTCCCGTCCATCAATCCATTCA